GATCTCACAGAGCTGAGTCGAACGAGCGTAAACTCGACGATGTGTGACGTGTTTTGGAGGAGTAAATCCACTTAAACCGGGAGCGCACAAATGATGCGACCGCACGACAGACAATGAGACAATCGAACGTAACAGCTCAGATTTGAACCATATTTCATGCAAAGCAGTATAGAAGTTCATTCTGCCAAATAAATGATTGCTGTTTCAAGAGGGTGTTTTTTTCTGGTCAATACACCCTATCTAAGTAACCTTTTTTAATCTGTGCAAAGTTAGTAATCCGTTTATAGACCATTTTCTAGCTTAAATGAACTGATAAATCAAGGGGTTACAAACTACTCATGCATCGTCTCTCATCCTGAAGGAACTAAAATATATTATAAAAAACAGAAATAATTTTCAAAAGTTTAACTTAAGGTGTGTGACTCGTTGTATAAGCGTTTTCTAGTGTCACCATTCATCAGAAACCGTCGTCGAAATCGAGAAATCGTACATTTTATTGACGTTTGACTAAAAGAAGCAAAAACTAGATTGGATATTGTTACAGATATTTAGCGTCTGATTTGGGGCAATACCATATTCAATCCCGTGAATGAGGCTGAAAACACTAGAGCGCTTGGCGGAATACATGTGATGAAAGTCAGGATGTTGCATGAGTTTAATCAATATATGTACATCCAATGCGAGTGATTAACAAAATAAAAGCGAAAATTTATGAATGTTGACCATCTACTGATCAAAGTTTATCTTCACTCGCCATTTTAAACTTGATTCACTGGAACTAATCTGTTGCAACCTGTTCGAAATCGGATTGTCGAATTAAAATGCATTGTGTTCTGATGTTGAACTACAAATGAACTCGCGAGATAAATAATTATGTTTTTTGCAACTTATTCTAAATTTGTGAATCGAATAACATATGAATAGAAGGTTACAATAAACTGGGACGGTTAACTTAATGAATTCCTAACTACGTGCACAACCAGGGGCGAGGAGAATGAGGGACACGTAAGCATAGTGCAACTGATGACAAATCTATGGTGATCAGCCACACGAGCGCTTGCTGTTGAGGTCCGTGTTCCGTCGTCGGTCCACTCGATGTAGAGTTTAGCATACACAAAATAATAGAATTTATCGCATCTGTATGAGAAAAAAAAACGAGTGTCACAAGATTACGGAGGGAGGGCTGAAAATGGATTAGTCAACCATTGTTCAGAGGGGGAGATAGAGGAGAGAAAATATCCCACTGCAAGCGAATTTCATCGGCGGTGTTTTAGTATCATAATGATAATTTAATGTCAATACGGCATGATGAGTGGGGTGAAAAACTCGTAAAATAAGCGAACTGCATGTGAGGAACCCTGAGGTAGAAGGGATAACCTAAAATATCAAGCCCCCGTTACTGGGTCTCTCGTGAATTCATTAACAGACTCGTTGATGTGGATTTAGTATTAGTCATCATGAGAGAAACAGTGAACGGAAATGATAACAAAGAGGAAAAGAGCAATGAAAAAAGAGTATTTCTGATCACGTGCCGCATTCATTAATCCACCGTGGACAACTGAA